TATTTTTAGTTATAACCTCTCAGTATCCAAAAATCATATTATATCTTAATTAATTTAAAATCAAATTATGTCAAATTATGTTAAACCTTATAAGATGAGAAGCTTTCATAACATTTGTTTCTCTGTTTATAAAGCTTAAGCTTGAGATCATTAAATTCCTTTCATTCGGATCGTTAGTATTATTTTTTTTTATCTTGACTGCACAATATATAGGAGATAACCATATTTCATTCTTTGTTCTACTCCACCCGCATATTATACGATTCAAACTCAAGATCTCTTATTTCTAATAAAAGGAAATGGTTACTAAATTATTTAGATCGTTACCAATAAATCGTTAGTATTATTTATGAGTAGTAAAATTTTTTATACCAAAATATTATTTTTTTATTAATAACTATAAAATAGATAATTTATGTAAGAAAAACTAGAAAATAACCATTTACTAACATAAAATACCCTTCACCGCTAAAAGCATTTTACTAACATAAAATTGAATTTATAGGTAGTATAGTGCAATTTAATCTAAAAAGTGTATTATAATTTCAACTGTATTAAAATAAATTATATTAATTATTAAATAAAAAATTTAATTTTTATATTATAATATTTTTTATCAATTAATTTTTATATTATAATTTAATATATTCAAATAATTTAAACAGTGATCTAGCACTTCGAGATTTACTCACCCCTTATTTCAAGACGTACTTAAAATTACCAAAACTTAGGTTCTAATAGCAAGTCCGTTTCCTTTTCTCCGAACAAATTTCCCATTATTCAAAAAAAAAAAAATAAATAAATAAACAGTGTTCCCATAGCAATATCTCAACAAAACCCGCATTAATTGAATCTTTGTTATGAATTTACTTTTTTTTTTTATTACTTTTGACTTGCACAAAGAAATTTAACCCTTTTAATTACCCTCCTTTTCTTATAATACTCTCAAAATTAAAATATTATATTTTCACTAAAAAAAATATTCCTAGACCATTTATACTTGACTCATTTTTATAATTTTTTGATAATATTATAATTATAATATTATGTAAAATTAAGAATTTACAATTATGATATGATATTAAATAAATATAATAAATATTAAATAAATATATATAAAATTATTAATTTTAAATACAAAATTAATTATATAATAAAATATTATATTATATATTTATAGTATTACATAATATTAGAACTATAATATTTTCAAATTTTATATATGAGCTGAGTTGAGACTGTCCATTTTGTTTAAAGATTGAAGTGCTTAAACGGTTACAGTCTTACTACTAATTTTGATTGGTAAGTCAAAATACTAAAAAGGACACAAAATGAAAGGAGAATCTAGGTCTGGGATGGGACCCAGTCCGAGGAGAATTATGTAACTTTGACCTTTTGTAGTTAAAAAAAAACCATGGATAAATATGTGCGGGCATGTCCGGGGACGTTATTGAGAGGGTGTTTGCTGGTACTTGCCTTGTAATGGTCCCCCTCAGTTTCAACTCATTTTCTCTCTCCAATTATTATTATTTTTTTCATTCTCAAAGATCAGTCCTTTAAAAATCAAATCTTAAAAAAAAAAAAAAAAAAAGAGGGAAGAGAAAGAGGGCATAGGCATTAGTTATTACCACCTCCTTAATGCATCTCTGATTATCTCTCTTCCTTCAAATTCCTGTCTAGAGTTCCTACATCCTCTTCTTCCCTGTCATGAACTCATGCTTTTTAGAAGCTGTTTAGATTGGTTCTGTCTCCAATATGGATTTTGGGGGTCTGGGTTTGGAGGGTCTGGTGGGTCCTGAAAGTGGAGCTTCATCTCAGGCCAAACTTCCAGAGACAAAACCTATGGTTCTTGGATCTGGGTTTGCCAAACAAGAGAGATCTTCAGAGTCTGGTGAGGATCACTTGAGGAGTTCAAAAGTGCCCAGAAGTACTGATGATTTCTCTGCTCCTAAGACAATGGCATTGCGTCAGGGTGCTTCTTTGTTGAGATCTAATTCAGGGGTTTCCGGAGACACTCGCACACAAGAGCATATGTTGAGCTTTTCTGCAGTTAAACCAGAGGTACCTTTTTTCAGTAAAGATGGGGGTTTGGGGGAGAGGAGCACTCAAAATAGTGGCTTTGCTTACTATCAGCATATACCCACTGCTTATCCTCGAAATGCAGGTATTCCTTAATCCATCTGTGTTCTTTTTTTAGAGTTTCCATCTGGGGTTTTGTTGGATATCTGAGTTTTTGAGATGGGTTTCTGGGGAAGGTGAGTTAAGATGAAGAGTTAGGCACATTCTTGTGCAGAAAATATTGTTGCTTCTTCTATAATGTAGGTTTGTATTCCTTTAGCTTTCATGTGCATTTAGTGGAAATTTTAGCTTTGAGGCTTGTCAAGGAGAAAAGTCTGTGTTTTCTTCTGTTATAGACTTGGTATATTTTCTTTTGGTTTTGGGCTTTTTGGCAAACTATTTCCAACATTACATGCTACCCAGACACAAAAGGGCAAAAAGGGCATGAAAGGATTGGAAAGAATCAACAGTCTTGCAGATAAGACTTGCTTGGCTTTATTTCTAGTATTTTATTTTACTCTCTTTATTTTTGTTTCCTTTTTGTTTTTACCTTGGCATAATTAGAGAAATTGATATATGATATACTGTTGTTTCCTTAAATATTCCAGACAGATCAACCCCCTTGTTTCATGTTTCAGGTTATGGTTCTGGAAGCTTGACTGCGAGCATGCACGGGCCTTTTACTGGGGTAAGAGGACCATTTACTCCCTCTCAGTGGATTGAGCTAGAACACCAAGCATTAATCTACAAGTACATTACTTGCAATGTGCCAGTACCATCCAATTTGCTCATCCCCCTGAAGAAATCTCTCTACTCTTATGGCTTGTCCAGCGCATCTGCTGGATCTTTGCCACCCAATTCATGTAAGTTCTCTTCTTCTAAGACAAGGATTGTTGCCAATCACGTATTCTATTACTTTATTTCGTGTAAGAATGGTTGTGGACCTTGTTGTGCTGAGTTTTTTTGTGAAGATGTGCTGGAAAAAAAATGAACTTTTGTACATTTGATGCTGGCAGGTGGCATCTGGTATGTGGTTGAGTAAATTTTGTTGAACCCCATGTGTGGATACTGCATTACTTTGCTTCTGATAACCGGAGGTTTTCATTTTGTATCCATGTCTTGCTGTTTTTGCAGTGATCTTAAAGTTTCCTGTTTATCTTTGGCAGAAAGCTTTTTTCAAACTAGTATATGTACAAATTTAAAGTAATTTTGGCTAAAAAGTATTACTTGGTCCTATGTTTATTATTACTTTCTTTCCCCCTTTTTCTTTTGAATGGCTTCTTTTTGTTGTTGATAATTGAATGTTTTTTATTTTTATTTTTCTAATTGACAGTGGGATGGAGCTCTTTCCATGTTGGCTACTCCGGCAGCACTGACCCTGAGCCTGGGAGGTGTCGTCGTACGGATGGAAAGAAATGGCGGTGCTCTAGGGATGCTGTTGCTGACCAAAAGTATTGTGAAAGGCACATAAACAGGGGCCGCCATCGTTCAAGAAAGCCTGTGGAAGGCCAAACTGGCCATGCCGCCACTGGGACCACTAATTCCAAGGGGGTGCCTATGACTTCCTCCATGTCTACATTGGTGATAACCAGTGGTGATACCTCCAACAGCATTGCAATTGCACAAAACCAGTTCAAAAACTTACAGTCAAGTGCTGCCAATCCAACAGGAGATGCACTCAATAGGTGAAAATTTTACTTTTTTTGAGCTCCCTTTATCTTTTTACTTCTTATTATCTCTTTAGTGGTATAGACTTTAAAGTAGATCTCATCATTCCGTCTTTACTTTGGTAACAGTGACAAGGCCTAGTAGTTGGGACTTAGGATTCCATTTCTAGGGGTATTTAACAAGTGTGCTGTTATGTTGCTACGTACTTAGGTTAATTTAATATGCCATTTCTTTCAATATCCCATAAAATAGTTCTTTGGAGGCTTGGAGTTCTATTTTTCTTCCTTATGGATTTTCTTTGAATATGAAATTAAGTTTCTTATAGTTCTCCGTTCCACATTTTTACTATTTATTAAGCTGTTTCTAAACAAGGAATGTATTGCAGGGTGCAAGATCTACGGGGGCTATCCATGTTGTCTGCCACCAACAACATGAAATCTAATGACTCTAGTTTCACCATTACAAAACAAGGTATCACATATTCAGAACCCTCTCAATTGGATTTTGGCCATGTTGCCTCTGATTCTCTTGTTAATCCTTCTCATAGAAGCTCTTATGTGAATTCCAAAGAGTATGGTTCTTTCCTAGACTTCAAAGATCATGAAACTCAAGACCAAAATCCACTTCGCCAGTTCATTGATGACTGGCCTAAGGACCAATCCAGTCGTTCTGTCATTACTTGGCCTGAAGAACTGAAATCAGACTGGACCCAATTGTCAATGTCTATCCCAATTACCTCTTCAGAGTTCTCGTCCTCCTCTTCTTCACCCATGCAGGAGAAACTTGCACTCTCACCACTCAGGTTGTCTCGTGAATTTGATCCAATCCATATGGGTCTAGGGGTGAACAATGACCTTAGTGAGCCAACCCAAAAACAGGCTAATTGGATACCAATCTCTTGGGGATCTTCAATGGGGGGTCCTTTAGGAGAGGTCCTAACCAACACCAGTAACAATGTTAGTACCTGCAAGAACACATCAGCACTCAACCTCTTACCTGAAGCGTGGGATGGCAGCCCACCGTTGGGATCTTCTCCTGCAGGTGTATTGCAGAAGTCAACTTTTGCTTCACTTTCAAATAGCAGTTCAGGGAGCAGTGGCCTAGCCGAGAACAAGATAACCCATGACAGCATTAGTATATGTGATGATATGCTTGGCTCCACTCTTGTAAGTTCTGTCTCCATTCCATCCATAATCCGAAGCTAGAAACTCCTGCAACAAAAGAAGAAACTCTCGCAGTGGTGGCGCTGTACTATGTTCATTGAGAGATTCTTTTTTTAGTACTTTGTGTTTTCCAGATTGATTTCTTCTTTCTTCCTTGTTTGTTTTTAACTCATGGTTCTTTTGATTTTTACAATGGAGACTTGGCTTCATGTTGATCTATGGTTATCTATAGTTTGTGAAAATTTGAGTAATCTATGATCCAATTAAATAGGTACCGGCCATATCGGTGCAGTAACTTTCTTGTCATTCACTCCTTGGTGAAAATGGAGGTGTGTACTCGTATGAATCATACCAAGACAGGAGCTAAATATCAAGAGGATATAAACAGACCACAGAAAAGTGTGGGGACAAACATGATAATGTGTGGATAGCTTCCAAATTACTTAATATTGATATCTGACTATGTTGGGCCGTTCTCATGACAGCTGCCAACATCCTTTACAGATGGGTAGATTGCTAACATAATTGAAATCACTGTAGAAGATTGAAATGGAGTTTCCTGGACTCCAGCATGAGGCAACCTTGCATCCTGCCTACCCGGCAGACCCCGCGCCTGCCAAACCTTATCAAGTTGATGGCCCATCGGCTCAAACTGGTCAAGCTGATATTAAAGTGGTGCGGTTGGGGCCATAATTGGAGCCATTTTTGGAGATGGACCCTTCGAATATAAAATCAATATTTTGTTTGAACAAAAGAAATAATTGTGCCGTATATTGTACCTCTTCAGTAAACTCTTGTTTTACACCTTTGGCCATGTTATCTCTCTGCAGAATTGAGAAACATGATTGTAAGGAACAGAAAACAGGACCCCATGTTTTTACAGCACATGGAACGGAAACCTCAGAAAGGAATCAAAACAAGTTTCTTTTTTTTTTCTTCTTTCACCATCCACAAATTTAAGGGTTGTGGAGGCTCATGAGGACAATTAGAGGATGCCTACATCTGAAAAATGGAACTTTAATCGTAAACAAGGAGCCCCGACTGCAGAAAAAACTGAAACTTTGCTGGTATTTTCAGGATTGTATTGAATGTGGTCGATGGAGCCAAATCATAGGAGTAAGAGAGAGCAGGGAGTCTGGATGCTGTCTACTCGTGGCAGTGAAAAATATACAGGAAGAAAGCAACCGCTCTAGGATGCATCCAGAGCCAGAATGTCTCAAGTTACCAATACAAGGGAATTTTTGACTGACCAAAATTTTAGCATGTTTTCATCTTTTAATTTCTCAGTTTTGGTTTGAATTGTGAAGCATATGTCACTATCCATTCCTCGACTACATTGCAGAATTTGCAGCTACAAAGTATGTCCTTGAACCTTTAACTTAAGCTCTGCAATATCAACCCGAGCAGAACTGTATATGTTCTCTTTTTTAAACCCATTCGTTAATAATATTTGTCCATAATAAATCCATGTCTCGCCCAGTGAACCGAAAAATGGAAAAAGCGACTGCGTAGTTATTACCACACAAAAGAAGTATAATGCCCTTGATTTTTTTTTTTTTTTTGAAAAAAAGACAGGTAGGGGAGGATTAAACTGTATATGTTTTTTTGATGTTGTTTCACTCAGAAAAAAATCGAAACTTTAGCTTAATAACTGGTTTATTTTCTCAAATTCATAGGGAAGTTCCATTTTTCCCATTTTGTTCTTCATGATAAAAAATCCAATATGGGTACGCGGGTTTCAATTATTCACTTTCAAAAATGTCCTTCTCTCTTCAATTCGGCATTCAACTCCAATCATCAAAGTCTGAGAAACTTAATGTTTCTCGTAAAAATATATGGAAACAACAAACGAACAAAACCCAGATGCAGAAACTAAAAAACAAAAGAAGAAAACTTGGAAGTGGAGATGCTCATATTCTATGGGTGTATGAGGAGTCTGTCATGCCCAATGGAGCATTCAGAACGAGGAATTATTTTATAATCATAGCAACCCCCACTTCTCTGAAGCAAATTACATTAAAAATAATGAAATCAAAACGAAAATTGCAGGCTCAGACACGCACAAAAACTCAACAGGGAGCAATTTGTACATTCAAGAAAGAAGGAGAAGGAAAAGAGGATTGAGAGAGGTAGAGATTGCGCGGGGCGGCGAGGGTTTTATAACCAGAAAAACCCTAATTTGGAGTAGTCTTTGAAGAGGGTCCTTCAACCCTCTTGAAAGACGTTAATGTCCTTCTGAACTCAGAGTGCGGTTGAGAATGAGCCCAATTGATACAGGAGGCCCCTGATAATTACAAATTTAAATTTGCCCAAAAAATTTCAAATCCAGGATAGCAGTGAGTGTTAGGTACTGATATATTCATTATTTATAAATATTTTATTTAAATTGGAAAAAAATTAAATAGTAGATGTAAAAATAATATATTTATAAATATCAAATTGAGTAATAAATATAACGATTTAGAAGTATTTATTTGATTTATTTAATCGTTTTATTTAATTAACTTGTTACATATATTTATATGATTAAAATTTTATATATATTTATTATACTTAATGTTTATATAATAACAATAATTTTTAAAAATAAAAAAATAAAAATTACACATACAATTTGCAAATAATAAGCCTTAAACCAAACAAATATCACTTATGCAGTTAATAACTTTTTTCCTTCTTTGCACCTTTAGGCAATGATGGGTATATACAAATTTTAAAGTTTGATTCTTTTTTTTTTTTTTACTTTTTTATTAGTGATTTTGAAAGTTATAATATTCATTTATTGTATACATAATTTTTTAATTTCAAACTTTAAATTTAATATAATAATAATTATAAGTCAAAAGTATAGATATTATGATATTAAAATAAATATAATACGATCAACCACTATCATTTTTTAACAAATCAAAACAGAGGATTTGAAAAATTATAAGCCCATAAACCTGGACAAAGGATTAGTTGGATTATAAGCTTAAACATGTAGACATTTTCTTTGAGGGACTTTCATTTTATTATTCAATTTACTTTCATTTTTTGTTTTTTAGTGCATATTTTTCAATTTTTATTGTTAATTATTTAACTAAATTTAGTTTTTTAATTGTATATAAATTTGAATTCTAAATATGAAACCAAGTTAAAGTTCTTTACTGTTATTTTAGATTATATTTAAGTTTAGATTGTAATAAATAATGTTTTATTAATTTTTTACTAGTTTTATTTAAGTTTATATTAAAAGTAAATAATATTTTATTAGATTTTAATTTAAAATAAATTTAAAATAAAATATCATTCAATAAGTACATAAATATATATTCATAAGTTATTTAGTATCTACTGGGTTAAATATCAAGTATACATTTTTAAGTGCTTAGATAAATACTAAATTTAAAAAATTATACCTAAAAATTTTTAAATTAAATATCAACTGTTAATCATACCCAAACTATACCTGAAAATGCTCACCGTAATGCGGGCTTCGTTCCTAATCCATTGAGCTACGAGCCCAGGCGCAAGTCCAAAAGAAATGAAGAATATAGTCTGCTTCCCCAATCCCCATCCAGCCTTGTATTTTGGGCTTCTATTGATTTTGGGTTTTCCGTTATCTATTTCAACTGATCTATTGATACATCGGAATTTAGTTATTTAGTATTCTGAAAATTTAAGTTTTTAATCTTAATTTTAAATTAAAAATTTTGAATTAGTAATCATCAATTCAATCAACTCTTAATGATGTATGAAGCACTTAATTATATTTTTTCTAACATATAAATCTTCAAAAGACGGCTGTTAAATTATGTGATTATTTTTTAGTAGTAAATTTTTTCTTCTCTTTCTCAATATATATTTTTTTCTTCATGGTTATATTTGCAATTATTCGATTGCTGGAAATTTTTGGTGTGATTCAAAAAATTCTCAACATCTATGTCTGCAATTTTTTTTTTTGTAATTCCGCACCCATGGATGATTATTCTAGATGATCAAGTTCCCACATTTATGGAGCTGGAAAAAAGTTTGTTAGATGACATAATCAAAAAATGCTTGCTCCATGACCACATACACTTGTCTTCTGCCGATCACTGCCTTAACTCCTTGAAACTTCTAAGTCCGAAAAAGTATAAAATCTGAATATGAATCCACCTTTTTCTTTTCTCTCTCTCTCTCTCTCTTTTTTCTTCCTTTTTTCCTGAGTTGATGATATAGACTTGGAGAAAATGATATCATTGAAAATTCTGGACCACAATTAGTGAAGAAATGCATGAATTTTAATTCAGTATATTATATGAAACTTTTTAACAACAAAGCACCCTATCTACCTTTAATGATAAAGTGATCGATGCAGTCCAAATTCATTTGGAAATTTGTTCGTTTGTTGAACATAATCATGATACCAATCAAACTTCATTACCAAACAGTTTGTTCAAATTGTGAATTTTATATGTCATAAACTAAAGCTCCAATTAATGTTGTCCACGAACTTATTATTTTGTTTTGCATGTCATCGGAAAAGTGGATTGGGATGTATGCCTTTATTTTATTTTTATTTTTTAGGGTCTTTAACTTTATAACTTGCAATCGAAGAAAAGAAGAGACAAGGCTAAAGACACCTCCAAGTACTGTGATTAAGCATGCTTTTTACAGAAGATTTATCCAATCGGCACCTGTTGTACCCCCTCCCCCAACTTTTGGATTGGATCCATCATCCATGCCTATGCCACCATAAACATTTTTTTTAAAAGAAGAAAAATTGACAGTCGACCGCCGTATGTACTAAACCTTATTAATCGTGGGTTCTAATATCATCATTTTTGC